GTAAAGGGCGAGATTCGTGTGATTGTATTTTTAATTCGAGCAATCGTTACTAATCAAACAGAATTTTTTACGCAAAAAAATATTGAGGTCTTGAATACGATTGTCTAGGCAGATTTTGATTGATGTAGTTGCCAGTACAACAGGTCGAGTTTTCAGTGATATTACCAAATAGCTTTGTGAGGAAAAGTCTTTCATTTCGGAGCTGGTAAAGTTGAAGGTTAGGTAAATTTGGTATTTTCTATCTCGAATTGGACTGTTCGGGAGAACCATGTCTCGCAGAAATGATGGTTATGTACCAAGCATTTCTACAGGTTTCTGACAAAGCTAGCTTCCAAACTAATAGATTAGAAAGAAAGAAACAGAAATAACAGACAGGCTATATAGGTCTGTCATGGGCTTTCATGTCCGTTTCACTTGAGCAACATTCGATTCCTTTTTTTTCTCTTTTCTTTCAATAGTAAATATTCTGAGCAGATCCCAGTGAATTCTTTATGTTTTCTCGGAAGCTCCATATGTCTGCAAGATTTCCGAATAGCCTCTTTTCATATTATGAGTTTGAAAATTAGCGGCGCTATACATTTGATGCTGTTCTGACTTTCATCACAATACCATGAGTAATCCATTCATTCCAGTAACAAACTTATTTTCATTCTTCATTATCTTTATGATAATAATTTATTTCATTTATGGAAGATTTATTAAGATTACAGGCACCGATTCATGCTGTTATTTTCGGTGCTCCAGTGAACATAGCTGCAGTTTCTCGTAAAAGACCACCAACGACGATTTCATCGGATTTCTCAGACTTAGCCATGCCAGACATTGCAGAAGACGTGAGGTAGACGTTTCTAAAAGTGCTCATATCCCTCCATTTCTGTCCCTTCAGTTACAGATGAAGTAGCTCAGTCCTACCTGTTCACATTTACTCCACAAACATTCTCGTTTTGACCGAACTGCTTCACAGCCGCTGACAACCATCCACCGAAAGCGCGGAAGTCGCTGAAGTCGGCCGGACTCTCATCATAAGGGCCTACGCCATACACATTCCAATACCTAGGAATCATTGTGATCAGTGGTTTTGGCTAGATATCCATACTGCTTGGAAATTTGTTCGCTCTGAAGGCAAGCGTGGGCTTCCAAAAGCACTGATACTCACCATAGCATAGCATTTGTGATTACTGCTCCACCTGTTATTTGACTCCAATCGTAATAGCTTGTGTAAATTCCGACGGTGAGGCCATATTGCTAGAACAAGACTATATGAAAGGGATTCTAGGTCCGCCTCTTACTACGAACGTCACTTACACTTGCTCTAGCAAGGATGCTGTTGAGGAAATTGATATTAGTGGTACTGACTGAAGACCAGTTGATTGGTGACGTCACCTGAAACCACCTGACTGATCTCTTTTGCTGGTTTTACAAGAAAATTTTTTGAGAAACATAAAAAATCTGTTCTTTTTTGAGGTCAGGTTTTTTGTCTACATGTCTATTCCATAATTAGGTACTTGCTTGGGACCCTGACTTGCTACGATCTCTAATTAACCGGAAGCTTCCCCGAATCCCAATTTGAACAATTCTAGATTATTAGGTGCAATGATTTGATCAGAAGCATCCTCCATAGAAAAATGAGACCCTAAAGAGGAGTGCAATAGATATTGACCTGCGTTAGATCTGTTCCATTCAACTTTTTCGGCTTCAAGTTGTCATAGTGAGCTGAACCGATTAGTCTCTTCTTTTGATTATTAATTCTCATCGAAGATGATGATTCGGTCATTCAACCAACTGTTAGTTACCAATCCTCACTACTTTCCGAAATTTCTTTTATCTTACCTGAATCCATACGGTTTGAACATTGATGTTCGAGTTTTTCAGGTTGTTGTACATCTCGTCGAATTGTTGAGCTCCAGTTTTCGCAGAACTCGGTTGAGGGGTCATGTAGACTTCAGTGCCGATACCAGCTGAATGGGTATCCGTCAAGTATTTCATGTAATATAAAACCTATTGAAAATTATTCTATGATGAAAAATAGAGCTATCCTCTACTGTCGTTTCCACTGAGTGCATGCAACGATGGCAGAGCCATTACTTTTGTGTTTTGTTATTTTCTAAATGCTCAACTTACCGCTGTTGGCGTTCCGAATATTGAGGGTTGCGAATGGATCGACTGTTCCGGCACCGACAGGGGTGTAGCCTCTGCAATGTGTACTGTTAGTACAAATGAAGTTGAAGAAGAACTTCAAAATTGAGAAAGATCAGCTATGTAGGCTAAATCATTGGTTCTGAATCGGTGACCACGGGTCCGTCACCACCAAGCCAAAAAAATTTATTTTTTCAAGAAGAATTGTGTATTGAGAGTTTTTTCTTTCTTACTGATCCCTACATTCTTGTACCAGAGGCTCTGAAGTCAATACCACGTGTTCTTCAACTGCTCTACAACCATTTCGAGAGAAACATAATTACTTCACAGTGTTTTTTCTCGGACTTAGACTTTTCATTATGCCATACGGAAGGGCTAACCTGACAAAAATGACGTTATAGAGAGATCTTTGAAAACACGACATATCGGATGGAGTCGCTTGGACCGACAGGTCGAGGGCATATGCCAGCGTATTCTAAATACAGCACTACTCAAATTAAAACAAGCTCTCAGAGTGTCGGACGAACATCGATGCCTCTACTAACCGATTCATGTAGCACAACAGCAGTGCTCTAGTACTCTTCTTAGCCTCATCTACCTAGGAAAGGAGAACCGAGGAAAGGACTGGTACTGACTGATTACCGAGAAAGGGTCTGCCTTAAAAAGGGTGTGTTAAGTTCACTGTGCGTATTTGTGATCGAGGAGATCTCATTTATCTATAAACGCAGCAAACTTCCTGGAAAGCTCGTGAAAACTATGGAGTATTCCGAATAGGGTTACAATCCGGCCCTCAGAGCCGATATCTGCCCCGGATCGTTCGAGAGCTTGATAGTTCCTTACCAGTTTGGAAGGCTTTGCCTGCTGTAAGATCTCCTGTTGAGCGGCGGGGCTGGCGAAGCAGCTCACAGATAGAGCACCGAGCATAGCGAGGTGATACATACTAAAAAGGGAATTTTCCGCAAAGACAATTCACATTGAAAATTTTCACCTTGATTGGAACATCAGCAACAAATAACGAGGAAGTGAGAGTTAGAACGAGAATGAAAATCTTTTCTACAGATGAGGATTTACTAACGACTTATTTTACTAAGCAAGAAGAAACACCTAGATAAGCAAATGTTCACAGCAAAAGTAGGACCTCCGAGTAACTGTACTAAAGAAAGCGTAGAATCGGAAAGGGTCTATCTCTGATTCTGTCAGGTATTCGAAATCAGAAGGCCTAAAAATAAATGAGTTCTATAGCAGTGATCGGCAGAAATGAACGCATTCGATTTGCTTCAGATGTATCAACTGGAGATAAGGAATTAACGGTATATGATAAGATCATCTAGCGAAAGAGGAATGGCTACCGTTTTGAAGTACACAGCATGAAAAAAATCATTCCGACGCTACGAGGCGGTTTATACTATCACTGGTTTGTAGAGGTCGATGAAAATGGGACAGACCAATGCAGACGTCGCCTGTTTTATAAGGGCCCAGCCACATGACGACTGTTTTCAGAATCACTGCTAGCCTTTTAGCCATGAATACAGGGAGTAAATTTAAATCTAAGAGATGGTTGGAAAAAACTAGAAGCTTGTGTGGAAGTGTACAAATGTGAAGGAAGTGCTTAAGAATGGGTGGACAGGAAACAAACATCAAAAAACCTAGACCTGTTGCTCGACAATAATCGATCCGTGCTTTATATTCACTTTATCACAGCTTTGATAGCTTATCTACTCCGCCCATGCAAACTTGGCCATTTTGATGGCAACTGCACGTCATTGTTTCGATTGAGTCTGTATTGAATTGGCTGAGTGGCTCACGGTCTAGTGGATTTCCAGAGATGGAGTTTTTTAAATGAATGGGGTGCTTCCTGAGCTTGTCGTACCATCTAAACTTCCTTATCGACATATTTAATAC